CACGAGGAAGGAGCGGCGGGAAGGGGCCCTGGCAGGGGGGTCGGGCGGGCGGGGCGTGAAGGCGGGTGGGCGGGGTGGTGCGATGGAGACGGAAAGCATGTAGTAGCAGATTGTCAAGCTGCGCGTGAAAAAATGGCGTGGAGCACTTGGCTGTATTATGGGATCGAAAACGCATACACGACTACAGTGAGCCAGCAATAGAACATCCAGGCGGCAACCAGAACCCGCACCAGACCGGGCTACCATCGGGCACCAGCCACAGAGCACCAACCACAAGGCACCGGGGCAGCAACAACAACACATCGCAACACACACACACACTTCCGCGCCAGCAGTAGGGCGCCACTCATGGCGCACCAGGCGGCAACGAGAGATCGCCGAGTGAAACTTACAACTCCTCTCTGCACGTGTCAAGACACCCGAATGCAAACATTATTTGGGGAATGAATTCTGGTGGGTAAGAAAGACGTAACCGCTCGCTTGAAAACTATGTACGGAAGAACGAGCACGTGGAGCATCACTGATATCATCTAACAATGCGTGCACGGCCGTGACACAAGCTCCATCCCCTTTCTATTCCCAGCACATACGCTGCCGGTGGAGTTCCAGCTTCGCTTGTTCAAAACAGGACCAAAACCTACTCCGCACCAGACACCATGACTTTTGTCGCACGGGATGCACGCTCGCGCGGAGACGGTGTGACTCCGCCTGCTCCGCCGAATCGCAGTCATTGCAAATCAGGAGTGGTGAAAACTGTCTTGACAGCGATGTTCCAACATGGAATACAAGTTGTATCAATAGCCGTAGGAATGGTGGGTGGCATTGCAATCAGACGTCTTTCCATGAGGAACCTTGTACGAGGCACGACGCCAACGTTTGGCTCTGCTTGCGCCTAAGAAGCACGAGGAACGCCAGAGGAAAATACATACTCATATCGAGCCCCCTCCGACACCTCAATGGTCCGTATTCCAAAATGTTGGAATCTAGTAGCGGTGGTCACAGTATCAAGAGGAATGCGAGTAGGTCCTTGACGACTTCGGGCAAGAGGTCGATACCCACGTAGTCCAACTCCGGCCAGGGCATGAACTGCTGCCAGCCCGAAGGCCAATGTCCAGCACTGGCCTCGCGGCGGTTATCCAACGCGTTGGCAGCGCGCTTGGAAGTTGAGGGGAGCGAAACGAAACGAATCGAAACCAACTGAAGCGAACGCCAGAATAGAGCGCGCTCCGCTTAGGAGCCCTCCCGTGCCCAAAAGGGCATGGCGTGGATACCGTGGCCTCAAACATAACGTGATACAAAAACACGGATTCACGCGCCAACCGCGACTCGAAAAAGTCGTTGATGCCAATCCTTCTTCCTATGCGTTCCCCACTTCGCTTGGAGGTAGAACGAGGCGAAGGAGGAAGCGGAAGCGCAATCCAGCGATGTCTCGGAACCGTCGGCCAGCACGCAGCGTGCCCGCTGCGAGCTGCCCCGCGGTCTCCGCCGACAACCTCGCCCCCCTCCACCTCCACCACGTCACCGCCTCGTACTCCACCAGCCTCCGAGCTTAACCTAAAGTGCGGCCTCCGCCCTCGAAACTCCTCCTCCTCCTCCTCCTCCTCCTCCTCCTCCTCTCCTTGCTCCTCTTCGTCCTTCCTGTCTCCTCCTCCCCCTCCTCCTCCAACCTCCTCCTCCTCCTCCTCCTCCTCCTCCAACCTCCTTCTCCTCCAACCTCCTCCTCCTCCTCTTCCTCCTTTTCCTCCTCCACCTCCATCTCCTCCACCTCCTCCACCTCCTCCTCCTCCTCTCCTTCCTCCTCTTCGTCCTTCCTGTCTCCTCCTCTTTTTATCAGTGGTATTATTCTCATTCGTATTACTATTATTCATCGTATTATTCTTCTGCGTATTAGAAATATGCCCCATCTTCCTTCTTCATATTATTATTCGCAGTATTAGTATTATAAACAATATTATGAAAATCAATATCATTAGTATTATTCCTCCTCTTCCTCTTCCTCTTATTCTTCCTCCTCCTCCTCCTCCTCCTCCTCCTCCTCCTCCGGTCACCCCTTTTTCCTCCTCCGCCTCGTCTCCTCCCCCCGGCACATCTGGCTCCTCCTCCTCCTCCTCCTCCTGTCCTCCTCCTCCTCCGCGATGCTCCCTCCTCCTCATCATCCTCCTCCTCTTCCTCCTCAGGTCCATCTCCTCCGCCTCTTCCTCCCTCCTCCTCCTCCTGCGTCCTCGTCCTCGTCCCCGTCTTCGTCGTCGTCCTCGTCCGCCCGTCGTCGTCGTCATCCTCCTCCTCCGCCTCCTCCTCCTATCCTCCCCTCCTCTACGCTTCCTCCTCCTCCTCCCTCCTCCTCCCATCCCCTCCTTCCGCCTCCTCCTCCTCCTCGTCTCCCTCCTCCTTCCTCCTCCCCATACGTCCCTCAGACCTCTGCTCCCCCCTCCACCTCCCCTCCTCTCCCTCCTCCTCGTCCTCCCTCTTCCCCCTCCTCGGTTCCCGCATCTTCCCCTCA